TCACTGACCGATGTTCTAGCTATTTTGTAGGTACAGATGGACAGGCTTCATGTTCAGCAATTTGACACACACGGTGGAGATTTAATGGACTAACTACTTTTTTTAGGTAACATCATGATTAATTACCGACACGTGTAGTTATTGGCTGCATTCTATTAGACATACAGAGAGCCACACTGACAAATTTCTATTTAGAGGAAGAAGTGGGCACAAGTAGACTGGAAAAACACAAAACAGTGGGAGATGTCATGTTCAGCAGCGACAACACCATTGCTCTTCATGTTTTAAGTTAAAGTTGTATTACTTCAGAATGATTAGTCAAAGATCGGTGATTGTTAGAGGCCTGAAGTTAATGTGAGAGGAAGGAGCATGAGTGGTCTTTTCAATACAGTAATTTTTCCTTACTGGCATAGGTTGTCAAGGATTGTTCTATCCGTCTGAGAGAAATGTGTTCAAAGTGAATTCTTCTCAGGACTGAGACTTATTTTACAGTAATAACTTACATAAGCCCTTCGGTTGATCGGTTCAATGGCTGCAATCTAGAAGCTTTATGAGATTTCCCAAGTATCATTTTCTGAAAAAAGGTCATGTTGTATAAGGTAAGAACAACATAGAGAATTGATAGTAACCAAACTAATTGCTTGCTATTGATTACAACATACTCCCTCCGTCCTGTATTATATTATGGTTATGGGATGTGTTTCTATGCTACTTGAAGAAAAACGCAAACTGATGATACTGAGTGCCTTGCTACTAATTAGATTATACTTTCGTTAGTGAATGTGTTCCTGCGCCATCCCGAATAAATAGAAACTTCAGATACAATGACCTGGGTACGTGAGCCACATCGTTCTCTTTTGAATCTCCCCTTTAGATATAGTCCGCAAGATAAAAACTTTAGACACATTTTTTTTCTATAGCAACGCACACGCAATGACGGTGCCATTGGCCGGCCGCCGGCCTCGACTAACACAACAAGGGAGGATGCCCGTCATCTGGGCCTTGGCAAGGATGTTGGGCAGATGTGTAGTAGGAGGCCATGGTCGCGTTAGGTCTATCCGATTCCGAGGACCTTCTCGAGACAGACTGTCATGCCCTATCATCGTGGTGACAGTCAGGCTTCATTTTTTTTTGCGGGAACAGTCAGGCTTCATTGTGGGGCTAGGATGGATCCCTGGTAAGGCAAAAAAAAAGGTATCAATCAAGGGACGATTGTATTCCTGTTGCAACGCACGGGCCATTTTCCTAGTAAGAGTAATCAGAAAATAAAAAGGCTTGTGGCAACTCGGTCGAGGGTTTTCCTCCTGTAGCGAGAACCTAGCCGCCGCCACAGGAGAGCCGCTCCTTCCCGCTCCGTCTTCCAGCGTCTCTCCTCCGCCGGCGACCTTTTGGTTGTCGATGATGAGGGGGGTCGCCGGATCCCGCGCGTGTGGATCGTTTATAGCTTTAGGTTTTAGGGCCTAAGAAGCTTAGGGTTTTGGATCGTTCAACGTCTTGGCTTCGACGGCGGCGACGACGATGTTGAATAAAGAAGTTCTGGATTCTTCTCTGACGATGCGATCGTCTCTATGGTCGGTGAAGGATCTGGGAACCAGTCTGTTCAAGCAGGGATGTCATGGCGGCGGTGGCATCCTTCTGGTGGACATGTGTCCTCGGGCTCTGCTGTTGCGACGGCACCTGCTCCAACATTGGCGCGGAGCTTGGGAGGTGGTCGAGGAGCGGATGTAGATTGTGGTCTGCATCGATGACATCTGAAAGAAGGAACGTGTGTTGGGATCGTGGTTCGTGGATGGCAGGTATGGTTTCCTCCTCCGACGTCTTAGTCATGTGGGGGTGGCTTATCTGGAGTTCGATGGCGTGTCCGGGGTGTTGCCCCGGTCTGATTCGTTCAACGACAATAGTTTCACCTTGGAGGTCCGCAAAGCTGCATATCAGCGATGGAGCCGCGTTGAGCTCGGGTGAGAAGGTGATCCGTCATTTTTTTTTCGGTGGCTGCTATGGTGGTGCCGGAGGCAGGTGACGGGCATTGGTGTCAAGCTCATAGACGTTCTGCTGTCTTTTCAGTTTTGTCATGTCGGTCTTTATGTGACTTGTACTTTAATTTTTATGATATGAATGAGACACATGTTACCATGAAAAAAAAAAACGGGTGTTCTACTACTACAATTTAGTTAACCAGACCTGCTGGCCCATGAGGGACCTGCACAATAATTCCTGCAAATGAACCCGGCGCTGAACTGTGGGGTGGCCGACCACGGGTGAGCAAAACGTCGCACTGAACGGGGGGGCTCCAAAACCTATCTCTCTCCCGTTCTGCCGCCGCCGCCGCACAACTCCTCCGCCACGTCGTCGTCGCCCCCTCCAATCCCGTACAGACCTAGCGTGAAGGCGTGTTGATCATCAACTTGAGGTATTAATCTTTGCCTTGTTGCCAGTTTGTTCATCATTTCTTTTTATCCGAGAGGCTGAGACGACGGTCCAATTTTATTTATGGTGATGTTGCAGAGACGAAGATGAAGAGGCGGTTCGTGAATCTGGTGACCCAGAACTGGACGGAAGGAGTGTACTCGGTGCGCCGCATCGATCCTTACCACCATTTCTTCTACGGGTCAGCAGATGCAGCAGCGGCCGAGAAGACGGAGCCTTTTCCGGCGATGCGGATCAAGGAGCTGCCGACGCCATGCATGAACTTGAGCGCAGCAGGTGGCCATGGCGGCACCCTGGACATGTTGGCGCTCTACAGTCCACGCCCCACCGGCGACGGCAGAATAGTCTACACCGACATGATGGGCAACGCCGACGGACATGTCCACACCGCGCTGAGCCGCCTCAACCCATGTGCCTGTCCATCGCGCAACCTGACGCGGACAAAGAAGACGGCCTGTATGTCCTGGACGCGTACCCCGGGAAGGGCGATGATGGGTGCTTCGAGGTCCTTGAGCGCACGCCCAGAAGATTTAGGTGCAGGATGATGCCGCAATGGCACTGGCGACTTGTTCCGCCGCCTCCCTTTGTCAGCCACCGGTCAGCCTTTATCACCTCCTTTACCACCATGGTCGACGGCGACGGCTGCTCGACCATCTACATATCATGCGCCGGCGCTGGCGGCGTCGATGTCGGCACCTACAGCTACGAGACGCCGCGGCACGAGTACAGGGAGCCTCGAGGATGGCGCCACGTCGGGGAATGGATGCTGCCCTTTCGCGGCAGAGCTCACTACGCCCCTGAGTTCAACCTGTGGTTTGGCTTCTCGGCCTCGAGCCCCAACGATCACCTGTGCGCCACGGACCTCTCTGCCATGGACGGTGGACGGCAGCCCTCCGAGCCCACGGTATGGGAAGATCTGAACCCGCCTGCACAGGGAGAGCCGTGGCTTCCAAAGCAGCTCGAGCTTCTCCAACTGGGCGGCCGCAAGTTTCTCATCGCAAAGACCTTTACGGAAGGAGAAAGAGGTGGGTACTTTTCTGTGCTCACCGGCGTAGAGATGATGGCGTGCGCCGCCGGTGATCACCGGCAGCAGACCCTTGAGATGGTCAAGCACAAGTGCGCACGTTTTGTCTTCACGGATGAGCACATCGAGCGGGTGCTCTGAATAAACTGAATTAACACCAGCTGCGCATGTTGTCACGAATTTATGTTGCTTCCTTTTCTCTGGGTTTCCTCAAGGAAGATCCCATATAACTTTC